ACTTCTTTATAATTTCATTTTCACTAGCCTTCACAGCTTCAACCTGAGCCAATGCAGCAGCCACTTTCATTTCTGCTAATGTGTCCGACTCCTCGACTTTCCGACTTAACGACTCGAATTCTTCCTTAGAGATAGTGATGTTAGCCCCAAAATCAGAAGTCGAAGCTCGTGCCGCATCGGTTCTCTCAGACAGTTCCTTAATCTGATTGAGAGCTCTCGCTTCAGCTGCTTTTGCTTCTTCAGCTTCCTCCACTGCAAGTCTCAGCTGCTTCTCAGCTGCTTCCATTGCAATTTTGGTGGCTTCTGCTTCCTTCCTCAATTCTTCTGCTTTCTTTTTCATCTCTTCTTCTCCTCGTCTAGCGTTCTCAGTTTCCGACGACAGCTGGTTGAGAGTCGATAGCATATATTCACAAGCACCTCTTGCTTTAGATTCTTCTGCGAGGTATGCTTCAAGTTCAGATTTGCTCTTCCGAAGCTGGACGTGCAAATTACCAGCAAGAGATTCCGCTTCGGCTTCTCTCTCCTTGAGTTCGGAATGTTCTTTCCTCACATTCTCAAGTTCCAACTTCAGAGCTTCAACCAGGCTATGGAGGGATCTTTCTTCTTCAGCTACTTTTTGTAGGGACCCTTTTGCATCATCGAGCTCCGAGGTGACATTCTTCACCGAATCTAAATCCGAAGCTTTTTTATCTTCCATTTGTTTCTGCAGTTCCCCGATCTCATTCATCGTCTCGCTCAGCTGCGATTCAAGATTCCTACTGATATCAGGATCGATTTCCTTCTGCAAAGAAAACAGTTTTTTCGCCGACTCTTCAAGAGCTGCTTTATACGACCGTCTCTGAATGTCCTTCTCCGCAAATATCTTCTTTTGCTCTTGCTGTGCTTGCAGGGATGCCAGCTTGAGCTTTTCAATAGATTCTTGGGCAGCCAAAATTTCCTTAGAAAGCTCATTTTCTTTCACCTTGTGTGTTTTGAACGATTCCTCAGCAGCCGTCACCTGTTTCAACGCAGCAATTTTCGCTTCCAAAGAAGCATCGGAATGTTGACGATTTTTTCTCAATTCGTGCTTGGCAGCATCTAGCTCTCCAATTGCTATCATGTACTGAGCTCGAGTTGTTTCCAAGTCTTGTTTCCAACCCGGATCATTTCCAGAATGATTGCTTCCGTTTGCCTCCTCAAGTTGCTTAGCTCGAGCCTTGGCAACTTCCGAATCCTTCATGGCAGATTCTTTCGATTCCCTCAGCAATTGCAGCTTCTTGTTCAGCTCATCAACAGCTCGTTTATTGTTTTCTAGTTCAACAAGCGCTTCGGATTTCGTAATCTCAGCATTGTTTAGCTGATCCTTTAATTTTTTCAGCTCTTTTTCTGTCAAGTGGAGTTGAGTCTCCTTTGCAAACACTCTCTGTTGACACGAGAACCAAAAACATCAGCAACATCATAAACCGTTTTCTTTTACGTTTTTTAAAGAACCTAACCTAAAACAACAAATAAAGAGCTTCCACAAGAACCTCTGCAGAACGAGGTTGCTTCGTCTTCCTCACAACCGGTTGTTCACCTGAGAAAGCACCCTCACCAAACAAGTTGACAGCGTCTTTGACAGACTGGAACGGTGAACTAGTGTCGATCTCGCCTACTACTTTGGCATTCGGCGAGTGAGTTGCGATTTGATGATCCTTCACACCCATTTTACTTTTCATTTCCTACGTATTATGCAAATTCTACCTGTTCGAACAATCCGACATCAGGCAAAAGGAGTATACACAAACAACTTACAGCTACAAGGACATCAAATCTAATATAATCCTCAGATTTCTTCCTAAACTGTATCATCAATGAGAACATAGATGGTTGTACATGTTCAAAAGACCATTATTCATTTCGACAAAGCTCAGACGCTCAACATTCGATGTCGATCAATATAAGTTCAAAGGATCACGAAACTAAAATCCAGATTTCACAGGGCAGTAACAGAGGAACACAAATTGCATAGGACGCAAGACGAGAAAGCAATAATCCACAACAATTCTTACAATTCTTCATGAAAATATTAAGAACAAGAACAAGTATCAACAAAAGTTTCCTATCCCATCAGATAAGTAACAATCAATCAGAGATGATTCTCGAGTCAAACAAACCCATAGCAGCCCAACATTTCATAGCAAAGTGTGAAAGCGTCCATGGCAGCCATTTCAAGCACCAAATGACTAAAAACTTACAGCGAAACTAAATTAATTGAGAGATATTCGATGAGCAATCATGAACACAAAGAAAACCCAGAAGAACAGATGAGAAATCAAACCTCAAAATGACTCCACCAAAGCCAAGAAAACGGCAAACCCTAGAAACGATCAAAAAGCGCGAAATGAAGAAGAATCACTTCATCATCATAAAATCAAACAACAACCCGAATCGTCGGCCTTGTCCACGAAGAAGCTCCATCGAACCCACAACCCGAAATCCAAACCCCAGAAGAACAAAACTCAAAAGATGGAGAAAAAAAGGAAAGAACCCCAGAAAAAAATGATGGGATAGCTCGAAATTTGGAACAAAAAACCAGTACCCAAGGATCGTATGTGTCTAGAAAGCGCAAAAGGGTATTTCTCAAAACGATATAATACGCTAAGACGCAGTATCGAATTGAGAGATGGTTTTTGTCGTTCAAAAGAGTTGGGAATTGAAATGGGTGTTTGAGACAAAGTTGGAATCAGAGAGAAAGGAATGAGAAGAAGAGGCAACATCCTCTGCAATGTCCTCCATGCTGGCGCCTGATCCGTCCAATTTTTCCGCAATATAATGGAGAATCACGACCCACATCATTGACCCATCGCACCATTCTCAACATTTACACAGGAAAGGCTCACAAACAATGGGCTGGACTCGCTTCCACAGGATCTTGCCTCCTCCAATTTTTTCAAACCTGGACCCTCTCACTTCACTTTATACGTTGATGCAAACAAACTTTCCTTTTGGAACATCATTATTTTTTATTTGTTTCTTTCCTCACACCAACATCAAATCCGACAAATCTCCTCTTGTTTCTTGGATTACCTGTTCTGTTCTTTTGATGAAATTAATATAACTCAATTATATTCGGTAATTTAAAATGTCAAAAATTTAAATATTCACTTTTTAACTTTAAATTTGTACGTTGGTTCAGATATAATATTTAAAGAATATACTCGGAATATATCTTAGATATTATATTTTAATATTTTTTTCTTTATGATTTGATTTGTAGTTTATATTTTTCTTATTTATAGTTATTAGTCGCTTGCATCCTGAGAGAATATGTTGAATTATTCGATCCCCAAGGATTAGAACCACTTTTTATAGGTCGGTGGAATCTTTATGCTCAAAACCCCCATTCAAATAATCATTTATTTGGTACTTCCGAAGGAGTAGGAACTGCCATTCTAACCCTTCTCGGGAGATTTCATTCGTAGACGCAAAGTTTATGACTGACTGATATGGCTCATCATCATTTAGCTATTGCATTTATTTTTCTTGTTGCTGGTCATATGTATAGAACTGACTTCAGGATCGGACACAGTATTAAAGATCTTTTAGATACGCACTTTGGGAAGGAAGGATTTTTAATATTTAGTAGGTTAAATGGTATTTGTCTCTTAGATTTTTTTTTTTTTTTTTAAATTTAGTTATCAATAAAAAAAAAATCGATTAATTTGTTGTATAGAATTTTGTTATAATATTGTCTATTTTGTATTTGATGGTAATTTTAAAATTGTTAAAAATTTGTGATATTAAAAATTATTTTGAAATGTATTTTTAATTATTCAATTTATATATATATGTATAGAATAAAAATTATATTTAAGGGTAAAATCAAACCCCTTTTTAGAATAATATTTTAATGCAAAAAATCAAAATTAGGTAAAAGCAACACAAATGGTATTGGTAATTAATTTTTGAAATTAAGTAATAATATTAATATTATTATTATTATTATTAACAAAAGAATTAGAAGATTACGGTAAAATTGATATAATTAAATAAAAATTTAAATATCTAAAATTATGATTTAATATTATATAAAAGTCAAAAGGAGAAAATTAAAAGTTTATTCTCGTTTTAGGATTGAAAAGCCAAAAGTTTTTAAAAAATTCAAATGATAAACGCAAATATAGTCTTTTTTTTTTTTAATAAAGGAAAATATTTTTTATTTTAGAAAAATAAGAACAAGACAGAAAATAAACGACAAAATGAAAACATTCAAATCTTAGGGTTTAAGGCTTTTGGATCTTTTTTATAAAATATATATATATATATATATTAAAAATTAAAAAAAAAAATTGAAGAATATATTTTTATAGATTTAAAGAATATATATATTTTTATAGCTTTAAAGAATATATATATATATATATATATATATATATATATATATATATATATTAATAGATTTATTCAATTTACAGAAACAAAATTGAAAACGAAAAATGAAAAAAAAAATTACAATAATTGTAAAAGAAAAATACTCAATAATATTTTATCAGAAAATAATGATATATTTAGATAGATTTGGTTAATTTAGTGATTAATTAATTTTTGTACATTATTTTTGGAGAATATTTTTTAAACAAACAAAAAGATAAGATAAAAGAAGTATGTATATATATATATATTTAAATTTTGATTTATCTCTTTTAAATTAATAATTACATAAAATTAAACTTTTCTAAGATTTTTTTAACCATAAAACCAACCATTTAACTAATTGATTTTTATTTTAAAAACAAATTTCATTTATTTATAGTTATATACTGATCGCAAAATCCCTAATAATTTTGAAAAAAAAAATCTCAAAATTTTCGGGGATAAAAAAAATGGCATAAATTAATTAATTTTTTTTTTTGTATAAACAACCCATTCCTTGATTTCATTTGATTGTGTTTATTTGTGGAGAAAATTGTTTATTTGTGAAGTTTAAGGAAAAAATGGAGATGGGAAGTGGGAAGTCAAAATACAGGTTTTTTATTTTCATGGCGGCTTTGTTCATATCATCACACCCAGTTTTGGGGATTAGATTTGTGATTGACAAAGAAGAATGCTTCTCTCACAATGTTGAATTCATTAGAGATACCATTTATCTCTCTTTTGTTGTCGTTAGCGTTCATACCTGGCGACATCATGCTCACAACGGCGTTGATCTTTTGGTGACCACTTTTATCAATTACTCTTCTTTCTTTTTCTCTCTTAGATTCGTCGAGATTGTTCTTATTCATTTGCATGTTTATGAGATGTTCGGCTCATGAATTAGGGTTATGACATTGAATTTGATTTTATATACGTTACATACCTTACAGAGGTTAAGGAACTGAGCCTTTTGTTTTGCACATATGTATGGGTGAATGAGATTCAAATTAGGGTTCTATGCATTAGGGTTTAAAAAACTAACCTTGTTTGATATATGTTGTTATAAGTTATTTCAAAATGTTTGTATTCGATTTATGGATTAAGTTTTGTATGACTCAAAAAGTTACTAGTAGATAGACAGAGTTCTATACGACTCCATTTTAGTAATCATAGATCTATTCATCACAGTGACACAAATCTAAATATAATACAAATCAAGCTTTCCCAACCCACAATTTTATAAATTCAAGCATCCTCTCAAGTCTCTCGATGTCGAAACTAAGTCATCAGATCATGTTTTAGTCTTGTTATGATTAAATGTGATTTGCAAAGTACAGGTGAAAGGGCCTTTAGGGGAGAGAATTGAAGAAATTAGAGGGAAAACAAGTGAGAAATTTGAGTTTATTTCTCTTAGAAAAGGGCGATATCACTTCTGCTTCATCAACAACTCACCTCACCAAGAGACCATAGAATTTGATATCCATATCAATCATTACTATGAGTTCTATGATGATGATGAACAACATGTAAAAGATGGTATTAATTCCTTTGATGAACCCTAGAGTTTTTACTTTGAAATTCATACTCCCCATTACTTTTCTGCTCATCTCATCTGGTTTGAAATGAAATTTACAGAACATTTGAGCCCTTTATTGGCTCAAATAAAGAAGTTGGGAGAAACCTTAGGCGTTATTGAGTTTGAACAGCAATGGTTAGAGGCACAGACAGAGCGACAAGCCAAAGGTATTGTTCATCTATATTAACCCATTTGATATACAATCTATTCCTTTGTATTAATTCAAATATCAGATCTAAACAATAACACTTCTAGCATTTAGTAAGTGAAGTACCTTTTTTGCAGTGAATGAAGCAATGAGCACAATGGCGATTCTTAAGGCTGTTCTCGAATCAGCAGCGCTCATCGGTGCAAGCAGTCTTCAAGTTTTCCTTTTACGTCGCCTGTTCGAGAAAAAAGTTGGAAGCCTGTATTCGAGCACCTACAGAATATAATCTCATATCCAAGGCAGATTCAAACTCCAGCAGACATACAACAAGCATGGCAGAACAAGTGTTGGAAAGGTTGAGGAGTTTTTTTTTTGTTTCTCTGTTTTTAATGAAACTAAAAGAAGTCATCGAATTTGGTTTAGAGCTAAAACTATTCATCCTTATAAGATGATCAGCTTCAGAATGGTTGAATAATTACTTTCTCAACATCTAATACGCCATTATGAATCGTTGTAACGAGTATCTATGTTCGTATTATTCTTTCTTCCAATGTTTGCCAACATTTTCAACATAAATATTATGCTCCATGCTTAGAAAGCAAGAGAATATTATGCTCCATGAGGCATGGACTTTCTCTAAAGGGTTGTTTTCGAGTAATCGAACATCTTCTACAGGGGAAAATGAAAATGGAAAGAGAGAAAGAAACCATTTAACAAACAATATTAGAGATTCAATATCAGATCTAAGCAGCAACATGCTTTCTTAAAAAAAACAACAAAAAAGAAGTAGAAACAAATTAGATAGCACAGGTCAGCTTCTACCAACACTTCACAGCACCACAAATAAAGCACGTAAAATTCTTCAACTTTTTTGCTCCATGAATGAAGACTAAGAAGCGAAATAGTATAGCAGGCTGACCGCAATCGAAAACCAGTGGAGACGATCACAGAGCAACACGGTTACGGGCTCTGAATGCAGCAGAACCATTTTTTCTGGAACAGCAGAAAAATCATCAACGTGAGGGGAAGGTGTAACAGCTCATAAAGAAATGGTACCAATGAGATATAGCCAAAATAAATCCATATCTTCCCATTTTTAACTCATTGTTAGTTGATTAGGATAAATAAATAAATAGGACTTGAGCTTCACTCCATAGTCCAAAATCTATTGCATTTCAATGAAAAATGAACACATTTTGATAATTAATGCATTTTCAAGACTAAACAAGCACAAAACTCTAGTTAATTGGAGATATCAATTATAAGATAATTCTTAGAACAAAAGTACCCATTTTAATGGAAAGCAAAGAACTGGAATAACAATGAAATATGAATGATAGGAAACTACAAAAAATGACTGTAAGAGCTCAAGCTTGGCTAGCAGATATTGTCCACTTTGACCCGTTATGTATTGCCGTCAACCTCATGTTTTAAAACGCATCTATTAGGGAGAGGTTTTTACACTGTTATAAGCACTTTGTTCCCCTCTCCAATCGATGTGGGATCTCACAATGGCTCCCCCAAGTGTTAGTGATACTAAGAACCTCCCCTCATGAGCAATCTCACTCAAGTCTAAACCAACTACAAAGTGCCTCCATCTCTTCCCATTCTCTCTACTCATATCTAATTCTTAGCGACCATTATATCCTTGTCATTCTAATAATATATATTACCATAATGGCACATTGAAGTGCATGAACAAGCGGTAAATCGCGCAACAAACAATTATACATAAAGATGCGTTCAAAACATCTTACAGCCTGAGGTTTGGCAGGATCAGCTGCAGGTTTTGCCTTCGGCGCGTTTCCAGGTGATTCAGGTTGGCCACCGGATTTCTTCTCATCTCTTGCCTTATTAAAGATCACAGTGAAGCCCTCTGCTGAAGCAGGATTATTAACATCCCATTCACCAAACTTAGGTAGTGGCTGACCCTTCTCCTGTTAAAATAAGCATACATGTGTCTATAATCCATCATTAATAGCAACAATCAGAAGTTAGGGTTCAAAACATTGTTTATCAATCAGAACAGAGTCAAGTAATACACATAGTGGATCAAGTTCCATGAATCAATTGGTAAGAAAAAACCCGATGAACATGATAATATAGAGTCCAGCAGATGATAAGATCAGACGAGAAACAAATTCAATTCAAAGAAAAAAACATAATGGGGAAGAAAAGGTAGGCATGAGAAGCATCGCCAAATCTCCAAGAATCAAAAATGGGAAAAATCAAGAAGGCATTAGAAGAAAAATCCAAGACAGATAAGTAAATTCAAGAAGGGGAAGTAAATCGGATGGAATAAAATGGAATCGTGATCAATGGAGAAGGGAAAGAGGAATGATCGTACCGACATGAATTCAAGAAAGTGGGGAAAAGGAGAAGACCAAAAGATCGGACGTTTTAGGAAAGGTAGTAAGCTCATTATATGTTCAGAGTTTATGATTGTATTGATATTTATTTATTTATTTATTAATTTTTATTGGGATAATAAAATACTTTTTTTTTTTTTTTTTTTAAGTTCTATTGCCTTTTTAATTTATAAATTTACTTCCATCTATTTTTAGAAGAATGGTGTCAACTATTTCTTCATAAATTAAAATTATTATTATTATTATTATCATCCAATAATTTCACATGGTACACAAACATATTCTCGTGATGAATATTGGTAGGTAAATATTATATACTCATCCATAAACCTTTTGGTTTTCGAACAAAATCACTGAACACTCTTAAATCTAATAAATCTTTTTTACAAGCAATCCATTCACACAATGGAGCATGCTTTATTATTGACATATCACAATTTACGATGTGTTTGTGTCTTTGAGAAAGCTATCGAAGATGATGAGTAGTTTAAGTGAGGGGAGAGTGTCACAACCATACTAAGAGACTCTAGTTTGTGACTTATACGTGTGGATAGATAAAACAACAACATGCAAGTTGCGCTTATCTAGCCAAATGAGGGCAATTACATATAAGTGTCGTAATGCAATCGAGAAGGACGATACATTAACCAACACATCAAGAAGTATGCATTAAAGTCAAGTTGAGACAAGGAATATTGGAGGCAAAAGGTTGTTATTAGTGTCATAGACACTTGAAAAGGATAGGGTAGGGTCCCAGATCATAACCTCAAAAGTCAGGGTTCTGTGTGAGTTTTAACATCGGCTCTAGAGTTAGTTATGTCTATATATGAAAGATGAAAACTTGTCAAATTTCGTGTCTATTAAACAATTGATGGACGCTCCACACGGTCGTCTGAGTACTCGCCCTAAAATATACCGAAAGGATAATAGGAGTTTGTCGCTAGATATTTGACCAAATAGGATCGTCCAAATCCTATAGAACCTATCACCAGAATATCCTTAAAGGGAATAGGGTTGGATTTTGTGAATAAGTGATTGTGAATAAGTGATTGTCTAGTATATGAGGCTACTCTCCATCATGGTATCTAGAAATAACTCGACATGAACAAAAGAGAATTCATGCTTCGATAGTACCCAAATGAATGGATGTCTGAATGTCCTAACAATAAAGTTGATTCATGAATCAATTCTCGAACCGAGCAAACAACAAATGTCAATGACATCCTAAGACTTGAAATGTCATGAAGTGGAGACGCAAGATTACATTTAAAAGACATTGGCCTAACTAAGTAGAGACAAGTCAAATAAAGTTGCAAGAAAGTGAACATGCTGTTCGACAAACAAAGGAAAACATTGCCTAAGTCCAACAAAGCTGCAAATTTGGACAAGAAATAGTAATGGAACTTAAATTCTCCTTGAGACTTGTTAGGATTGCGTTAAAACCACGACCCATCAAACATAACCTATATGGTTGTTTCAACCTCACCTTCACAGTTTGATTGAATTAAGAAACTCACTGTCCAGAATCAGACGCAAGATTTGAGTACCAAATTACTCAAACAATGCCACCCAACAAATAGAGGAAAATACGCTTGAAATATTAAATAATCATAAAGAATAATAAGAATAAGAATAAAACCAGAATATGAAAAATCCATTCAGTGTTTTATTACCAACCTCAAAGTTAATTACAGAAACATAAAACACAGACTCCTTAAACGCAGATTGTTGGCTGCAAAAGGAGTGAGTGAACTGAATTGAACTACCAAGGCCAACGAAAAGACTCATTATAGACAATGGAATTTGGCTCATTTTTGTGTCAACTTCTTCTGTATTCATTCTCTAACCCATAGAACTCCTTTCAATGCTCTGAGCATTCTAACCAAAAGAATTACCTTTTTTCTCAAACCAATTGGTTACCTTTGAAGGAGCACATCACAGTCTTCAAAAACACAGTAATCTGCTCCCTCAAAGGTCATCGTCTTAATAAAAAGTAGCTTCGTTTTTCATTTTTATTTTTCAGTACCCACTCCTCGTCCCCGCCCTTCTTCGATCTTGTATTTGCAGCTTCTGTCTTCATCTGGTGGAGTCGAATACCAAACGTCAGTAGTATTACAACAGATAAAACCAGACATATAATGAAAACAAACCTTGAGAGTGGGGATTTAGAACTAACATGTACATGGAAATTTCAAAGCATTTCTTGATTTGCAAATCAAAATCTGGCTCAACCAAAGCCGAATCCTTCACTGGCTTCATGAATGGCAAGCAGCAAGCGTTCTTGAAGCTGCTCCTTTGATGAGTACTCAGGAAGATCTAGTTGATTAAAGCTGAAAAAAAAGATGTGAGAATCATATTCGTTCAAGCTGGGAGAAAAGAATAGTTCCCAGAAGGTTATATGCCCAAAAAGAAAAAAAAATAGCTATACTTGATTCTAGGCTCTCTGCTCATAACAATAATGAATAGATAAAAATTAAGATAGAACGGCATTTAGATTCCCAACCATGTATGTGCTGATGGCAGCCTGTCAGGAGCTCCATACGCCTTGTGAATCTGAAACCTCTGAGGTCCAGAGATACCTTGCAAAGCTTTAAAACCCTCCAGTGGGACCTGAAAATCACAAATGAATGGTGACTCGAAGAAAACCGTAGAGACTTCGTATTCCTATTTCAGGATTACACAAAATTCCTTGGATCAGCGTGCTGCGGAAATATTTGTGTCTGTGCATGTGCCAACCCACCACGTGAATTAAATTAAGAAGACAAACATATATCTAGTCTCGTCAATCATTTCAAACATCCAAGGAAAGGGTAATATCTCAAGCATAAGACGGGAGAAAGAACACGAAGGACACACTAAAAATGTTGATGACATCATATAAACGATAAATAGTAGATGCAAACAGGCGTATGCAACATTCTATTTTCTTACTACCTTTGATGTTCCAGTCACAAACTGCAGCAATCTTGCCATGTCCTCCTTACTAAAAGATTTAACCACCTCCCAAAACCACTGCACAACACTTGATGCAGCTGTGTATCCAGTATACTCGGTGTTCACCTTCAAATCATCCACTGGAAAGACAATAAGAAGTTAAAACCTCAGAAAATAACCCGAAGCACCAGATACCATGATTATTTTGCATGAGAGAACTCACAATCAATTTCTGGAAGTCCACTGATGAGTAGCTCAAGCTCTTTGTCGTTAAAAATAGAAATAAGCTCTCGAGGCACCAGTTCGTTGAAACCATCTAGAAATGAGTTAATTTGGGGGCGGATAGCATTGGTTAAAATATGATCAGCAACCAGGTCTACATATTCATGCTTAGTTTCTTCAGTAACCCTTATATTTCTTCCTCCAGGCTTAAGCTCAAAATCAGTGACCTATAAAATGGAAAGAAGATCATAAAGACTACAAAAATAGTAGAAGAGTTCATTCGCAAAAGCTTTTACTACACACAAAAACAGGCTTGACAGATGCCCAAATTTTGGATTATGACCTCATTTTTCTCATAAAGAATGTGCTTCTCCTCATCTGCGTCCATGCTAAATGAAAGATCAGGAATGTCACTCACATCGTTCTGACAGAGAGATCCAAAAGTTAGGATATAAAACTAAGTTAATAATCATATTAAATACAGAAAATCACTAACCTCCAACATCCACTTCAAGTTTTTATAATAATCAGGATCGACAGCTTCTATATCATGGTAAGTCACCTTAACCCCAAGTATGTGCTTGTAAAACGATCTTGTGAAATAAACATCCAAAAGTTGTCCATCATACAGAGCCTTGGCAACCTATATAGAATTCAAAATATAATAAATCAGATTGAAACATCTAGCGAATCCTTAGCAATGATCAGAACACCAGTTTTAGTTAATTACCACGCGGCCAACAAACTTAAAGTAGGAAAGGTGTTCTGTTTGGTAGACAGAATTTGGATTTGGCTGAAAAGTTGCATTATTTCCAACTGTGGTGAATAGCAAGGCTCCCTTGTCAAATATGACCCTCGAGAGTAACTGATACCATTCTCTTGTTAGGCCACCAGCATCAATACCCTCTTCACCTTGAAACTGCACATTCAATCGTCCTCTCAAGTCTTGAGTTGGCCGCATACGCAATTGATTGTATGAATCCTCCAAAACATAGGCCCGACGAACACTAATCCGCAATTGACCAGAAATATGTTGCTCATTCTGTTGCCTGATTCTTGAACGGAAATAAGCTCTCTTATTATCAAAATCAATAAGCCTAGGAGCTTTCAACAATATTGAAAGTGATTTCTCCAATAACCCAGGGTTTTGTCTGATGAAAGCATTCAAAAGACGGCGATGCCTCTCAGCAAACCTTGTAAACATAACAACGCCATCAGACTTTTTCTGATAATCAGTACCCTTGGTGCTTAATGTGTCTGAACTGCCAGCAGACTCTTTGACCTCTCTGGCAGTAATACTGGCATGATCTTGTTGCAAAATAGACAGATTTTCCTGAAGCTTTTCGGACAAAACAAAGAATGCCTCAATAAATGGCAGGAGTCTCTGACCTCCAGGAGGTAGAGGAGAGGAAGAGATGGTGCCCTGAAGTTGCTCCCCAACATTAATTGGTGCTGTGGAAGAGGAGCTCTGCGATAGTTGAGTCTCAGTCACACTTATACAATCACTTAGTGCTTGCCACAATGGCTCTAGTGCCACATTCAAGCTCCACATGATAGCTTGCTCCTCTAATTCACTATCACACTCTGAACTTTTGGCTTCCCCCGCACTAGGGGAAATAAGTGAACTAAGAGCCTGCAAAACACGTACAATTGCTGCCCCAGCCATTGAGCTAGCACTTAAACCTAACATGTTTGTATTCTTCAAGGTAACAAGCTCGCTGATAGCAGAGCTGCTCAATCCATTAGCTAATTCTGAGAGGTTTGACATGAAGAATTTTCGATGGGGTGCTGCAACCGAGGACAACTTCTTCAGTACCTCACCAGCTAGCGCATATACTTTATCAGAAAGCCTAAACACCAGTTAATGAACAAATTTAGTTTCTTCAAGTGAAAGAAAAAGTAT